TAATATTTTACACAAAAATCAAACTATCCATTCTTTTGTATTGTTAAAAAAATTCGAATGAAAAAAAAATGTAAACCTATATTATTTTTTACATTGCTTAAAAAATCTAAATAAGAAACTTAAATTTTCTTATTTATTATTGAAACTTAAATTATCTTATGTATTATTTTCCAATTTCGATTCAGTTTGTACTGTATCTATAAAATATAAGACTCTATACCACATGAACGTGATTTGTAGAACAATGTTTATTCGCTAAAAAAAAAAAGCTTCATGATACTAATACTACACAGATGCATGGAAGCGAAGTTATAATTTTGGGGATATACCTCAGAATCATAGACATCTTCCTGATAGGCACCAATCATGGACGTCAATTCGGCGTCAATGTAGTATGGACTCATACGCTTAACATTAGTAAAATATTAAAATTCAATTTACTACTAAACCGTTTTTTTTTCTGTTTTATGTATGTTACGAATGTTTAATATGAAATTTGCTAAAATATGATTATAAAATAACAATTATATGTTAATAATAAACACTTGCAGATCTTTCATAGTCCTGATATTTTTAAATCTGCATTATATAATGCATTTTATTATTTTCAACAAAAATACCAAACTCAATGCCAAACTCAATTATTATTATTTATTATTTATTTCTATATAATAATTTTATAAAAAATATTTGTAATGCCTATCTCACATGCCTATCGCCCTTTGTAGATATCACTGATCAACAAAAATATTCAAAAAAATCAGACTCAAAGCGAAGAATGCAACTTAGACAAACTTTTATTATTATATTTTATGTATATCTCATATACACGATTATGTAACAATATAAGATTGCCTTTTCTAGTTTTCTATTTTTATATTTGTACACAAAGATCGCTTACCTCCATAAAATTGCAAAACTCAAGACAAGCAGAACAAATGCCTGTTATACAACCCAAAAGATCAGGATCTGTTAACATGCACTCCTTCAAATAACTATCTTGCAGATCTTGATGTACACTTAAGACATCATCCACGTTGCTGACCTATGCATTAAATTTAAATACTTCAAATTTGATAAAATTTAAATTTATTGAAATAAAAATTACTATAATACAGAATCGTACCTTACTCATTTTACTTATAAAAGTAAGCCAATTTGGTTCTATAACTTCAACCATCATATAATATGCTAAATGTTGAATGCAATCCAGCATTCTTTGTCTCAAAGAAAAAGCTTGTCTATATGACATTGCTACATTATGAGTAAAAGTTTTTGCAATTTTATTGCTTACCCATACTCTGGAAAAGAAAAATATGAAATCAGAATAATACAAAATTTATTTTATTATTATGCATGAAATTTTTAATCTATGGAAATATTAGATAAAAATTCTGAGCAATTAAAAAGTTATATAATAACCTGCACAAACGTCTTTCAATATATTTGCAATAAAATAAGTGTCTGAACAGCATTTGATAACAAGCTATAGCTTTTCTGTTGAGTATCAAAGAAACAGGCCATTTAACATCATAATTAAATACAAATGCTTCCAAACCAGTTAAGGTCTTATCAGTTTGAGAAGAGTACTCTGAAACAAAAATTTTCATTACAAATAATATCAAGAAATTGGAGAAAAGAAACTAGAAAAATATACCTTTTTCTTCTCTAGTTTGGATAGAAAGTATTCTAAACATTTGAAATTGAAGATCATAAGGTAAAAGTTCTGGTTTTAAATCATCCTTGTATGGATCTGAATCTGCAGTAGACATACGCAATGCAACTTCAAGAAGAGATGCTAATCGATGAATAACAATATCGTACATGTTTTTATTTAATTCAGTTTCACAAAGATTCATAAATTGAACCTAGAATAAAATGTAGAATATTAGATATTAGATGTATTAATATATCAATGAAATATTTTGTTATATAAGCTTACTACAAAATCTCCCTGTGCAAGAAGAAAATAATTTTTTACACTACGAAGCCGACCCATTAAATCATTTTCATGAATAAGAACTTCCAATAAGGTCTTTGCAGCTTCAGAATATGCTCTATCAATAGTAGCTATATATTTTTGTCCTTGATGTTGATAAATTAAAGGTTCTTGTTTTCCCCATTGAACAATTTTACCTATACATGTGTAAAAATTTTTTATGATTTTTTTTGGAAAATGAATAATAATGCTTAATTAATGCTTAATTAATAAGTATTACATACCACATTGTCTTATTACATTAAAGTATTTTCCAGATCTCATAATTGTTTGTGCCTGCTCATTAAGAAATGTAGGAGTTCTTTCTGGTCTCATAGTGTACCTTTTTTCCCAGTAATCTGCAGAATAATCTATAGGTAATTCCTCTCTATGGATTAATTCATTATCTTCTACAAAAAACTGAAATTATAAGAGAATTTATTGAAACGAAATAAATAGTTTAGACATGAGTATATTAATATATTTTATCTACTATTCTATCCTTACCTCTTCATATGGATCACATATCACTCCTTTATATACCCATTTTTCTAATATTTGCATGTATGGAACACTTGCCGTTTGTATAAGGAACAAACATAATTCTTTAAACTTTGCTTCTCCACTAATATTATTTGCTTGTTCATGCAAAAGACTGAGCACTTTACCACCTTTTGCATTCGCCTAAAATGAAATATATTTTTACGTTAACTCATTTTATATCAACTCATTGTAATAAAATAGTAGAAAAATAGAAAGGAAGATCACAACTAACTTTACATATAGTCGATGTAATTTGAGAAAGAATAGACATTGCGATCATAGTTGGTTGAATATAAAACCACAATTTTTGCAAATTTAATTTTCCTCGTACATGTTCCATTTCCAACTGTACAACAAATAACTGAAAAATTTTAAATATAAAATAAATTCTTTATAAGTAACTTGATTACTGTAATCATTTTTAAAATAAATTAATTACAGAAGCATATTAATTTTATATTATTAGACATACCAAATAATCTTTTAGTAAACTTTTTATAGCTCCTCTCAAAGCATGATTTACTTGACCATCTTCTGCTAAAACCTTTTCTTCGACAAATCTAGCTGTCATAGAATAATGTGATGCAAGAGGTAATATTTGTTGTGTCAATTGTTTGTAAGATATACCTAAAAATTATAATGTTATGAAAGTGAATGAGCAGATTATAAAATTATTTTTATTTCTTCTTACAAACATCTGGAGATATATTAAATGTCTTCACTGCATGTGGGCTTATTAAAGGTTCAGAAACAATGTAAGTTCCATCTATACCTTTCAAACAATATAAGATATCCCAAAGTAATATAGATTCTTGAGAAACTATTGGTACAACCTCTGTAAATATTTTGTCTCTAATTAAATTAATAATATTAATTTTTTATATTCATCTTAAGCGATACTTACTTTGGCATGGCATCACATTTGATTCATTATAAAAATCCCATGTTATTCTAGGCCTCTCATAAACCCAATTATGTTTTATAACAGATGATTCTGTTTTCTTTGTAATTGCACATACTTGTTTATTTAATTTTTTTTCTCCTTCCACAGCGGCTTTAATCACATTTTTACAAATCTATATTGTATATAATACAGTGTAAGTTAGTTAAAAATGAAATATTTCTTAATTAATATTTAGTAATTAAAAAATTTAAAAAACCTGTGGTAAATCCTCCGTAGTAATAGCAGCATTTTTTGTAGAAATTGATGATAAATTTGATGCTTCTTTAGCCAAATAATTCTTTAATTCTTTATCTTCAGATATAAGTTCTAATAATTGAATGAATAAACCTAACAAATCTATTCTATAAAAAAGGAATGATATTATTTTAATATTATCTCTTTTTAAACTCATATGTATATTTCTGATAGTACTAACTTTTTTGCTTTTAATTCTTCATATTTTTGAAGAAATAATTCAGGAACAGGAGACTTTTTTGCTAAGTTACGAATAGAACTTTGTGATGCAACAATAGCTAAAGCACCTGCACTCGTTGGTATACCTTCTTTTTGTAATTTCTCTACATGTTTTTCTGGTGCAGATGATGATCTAATTATAAAGAAAATGATCACTTAAAATGGGCAATCTAAATATTAATATATTTAAATTATAAATACATAACTGTGTAATTAATAAATATAAAACAAACTTTCCAAATTTGTTGATGACAAATCAATAAAAATCAACATAAAAGATGTTTCATCTACTTACCCGAGTAATTCAATTAATTCAACCACTAAATGATGTAATTTAAATTCACTCATTTTGTTTATATCAATAAATATTTGACATTCTTTTAAAACATGCTTATTTTTGTTGTATCATTATAACTGCAACCGAAATTGCTAGAGTTTCTCTAGCGTATTTGAATTTAAGAAAATGATATTTCAGTGATCATTTAAAATATTTGTTTATCTTGATCATTGATTACAAATGAATTAGGTTATGTTAAGTAGGAAGGAACACGAATTAAATGAGAGAATATCTCTCCATGTTTTCTACTTTAAACAAAAAGCAATGCTCTATAAATATCACTTCATGTAAATATTAATTTAATTTTCATAAATATGAATTACGAGTTGCAAATTATTTTAGATTTAAATTCAGTAAATCTACATCAATTTGTGTCGACTGACCAATAACGTGCGTGCATTTAAAATTTTCAATCAGTATTGCAGCAGCTTCTATATTTTCATGTTATATGTTTAAATAGTTATTTATAAATGAATTAAATGTTATTTACAAATGAAACAAATTATAAATTATAACAACTAAAGAAGATGTACTTTAAAATTTTTACTATTAATATACTTACTTACGTAATTTGATAAAATTATTTAAACTAACATTATTTTGAATGAATGTATGTTTAAGATTAGAAATTGTTAAATTGTTTATAATATTTTTTCTTAATTACATTCTACATCACGTATAACTGTATATCATGTAATAAGTTCATGAATCTACGTCTTCTTCCAATGAAGGAGGAGTGAGAAACATCATTTCATAAAAGAAAGATTTTTCATATTCCTCATGAAGAATGGCTGTTTCATTTTCATCTATAGGTGATGATAAAACATTTGTATGTAATTTCGAAGTCGCTTGAAATACGTACTTGTTAGCAGGAATTCTAAAATTATATAAAAATTTTACAATATACATTTATTATTTTACGAGTCTATCTTTTATTTTTGGAGATCAATATCCTGGATTAATATATTAATATCATACGATATATAATATCATACGATATATAATATCATACGATATATATTAATATCATACGATACCTGGAATTTATATTTAAAATATTTGGAGAAAACATATTTTTACGTTGAATATTATCGTTGTTATTATTCGGAGTAATATTATTGTCTGTGGGTACGTTACAATTTTCTTTCATATCAGTGTCGATATGATTAAATTGCGTAACATTCATATTATTCGATGACTGCATAGAATTTATATAATTTGCATCTTTTTTAAATCTTTTGATGATATTCTGAGTTCCCACATCAATTATGGGCCTTTTTTTTCTTAATAAATCTGTGCTTCGATAATTTATATTTGGTCTGTGATACTCTTTAGAATGTCTGAATCGAAGAAAACAAAACGAAAATTATCAGAATATGAAAAGCCCCAGAGTGATAGAATTTTTCTTACGATAAAAGATTTTTATCAATTTCTGATTTTATCTTGTTAAAAAATTGATCATCATCGTCTGTAGTTACAGTTGCAGTTGGAACACTTGGTTTTTTTTTTAAATCTTGTCTAGTTATGTTATCAGAGCACATAATTCCTACAAATAAAATAGAATACAAATGTTTGGTTGTTCGAATTAATAAGTACGAATTAAAGTTTTAAAATTTTACTTGAGCTAAGCCTTTTTAAATCCATTACATGACTCTGTTTGAACGTAGCAGCATTATTACGCATTGCAACGCCGTTTAAATTTAAATTGTTTGAATTCATACGTATGCCGCACTGCTCCATTGTATATTCTGCATGACGTAATTCGTATTTAAAAATGATAATACCGAATGTTACATTTGTAATTTATATACAATTTATATATATTTACAATTTATATTTATATATTTATATACAAGATCTTTCTCGCAAATAAAGCCATACTGACTTTAAATGATTTCGAATGATGAATCACGTAGTACGTATGACTACATGTATCGGAAGAGGAAGATTTCACATCTTTATTTCTTCTGAATTTAAAAAAATCACATGCAATGCAAATGATATTATCGTTTTATTTTATCTCATGAAACTTTCATCCTATCATGCTAAAACTATGATTTCGTTCGATCATAGGAAAGGCTCAGTACATTAACATTTATATAGACGAGAATAATATTTTTTGTTTTACCTATTCTTTCGTTTACGCGGCAAAACAATTATTTCTAATTTAAAAAAAACAAATGTATTCACATCATTGTTTCCTGTTTGTACTTGCAACTTAATTTTATTCTAATGCAGCCAAATGAATACTTCGTCTGATTTTTGTATATATGAAATTTATTTGCATTTATTCTTACTGTAGTTACGCGATTGAAAGTACGTGCCGTTTGCAAAGAAAAGAAAAAAATAAATTACGCGACAAACGAATATCACGGTCTTTTGCACTTTACTTCTGCGTGTTTTGTTGAAACTAATTAAAATGTAAAGATATGATATTCCGTTCGAGCGTGATCACTGACTGTACAAAATGCGCGGAATAGCCGTTTGACGTTCAAATAATTTCTTCTAGGTTAACAGAGTTTCGTCAGATTGATCGGTGTACGCGATAAAGGTTATAATTTTAAGGTTATAATCTTAAGGGAGTTTTAACTAGATCGGAGCGGCAAACACGACGTTTAACACGAATTCATTCATGCGAATGTGAAACGATGCATTTTGTGACAGCGGTGAATTTTAAGGTTCTGCCCGTTTTTCGGCAACGTATGACAAACGTCCGATCGTTCTGCAGAAATCATTGGCCAGCCTACGAGGAACTGTCGGTGCGACCGCAATTTCAAAAAACAAAGCTTTGCGAATATCATGGAACATTCGCCAAAAGTATCCACGTCCGTCGACAAACCGCAGCTATTATCTGCGTTAGATCGTTTGCCACTAAACGATACAACGACAAAGATTCATCTAAGTAAGATTTCTTTTTCTCGTTCTAAAAATCTCTCCTTCCTAATCGTTTTAGATTATATTCATTTTAAAAATTAAGTACAACTCTATCTTTTTTTTTTGTAATAAATAACACTGAAATAGCAATTATAATTTTCACATGCCTGTTTTTCTATATAAGATAATGATTTTATTTAGTGTTATACATTATAAATTACACAAATTTTATTTAATTTTATTTAATGCTATACGTACTATAAATTTTTATTCTTATATAAATTTACAAGTTATTAAATAATAATCTTATTTGGTAACAGTAATAATGAAGATGATATCGGTGATCCAGCTTCATTACCAGCGACAGTGGTTGTACCAGAAGTGTGGCCCCATGTTCCTGTTATAGCAATCAATAGAAATCCAGTGTTTCCAAGATTCATAAAATTAATAGAACTTAGTAATCCAATTCTCATAGATTTAATTCGTAGAAAGGTTAAATTAAATCAGCCATATGTTGGAATCTTCTTAAAGAAAACAGAAGAGTAAGTGACCTAAACGTATATTTTAATTGACAAATAAGAAAGAAATATCATTGTTACATTTAAACTTAATCATTTTGGTAGAAATGAAGCAGAAATAGTACAAAATTTAGATGACATTTACCCTGTTGGAACATTTGCACAGATACATGAAGTACAAGATTTAGGAAATCGGTTGAGATTAGTTGTAATGGCACATAGAAGAATTAAGATTGTTGGTCAAATTTTAGAAGAACTTCCAAAACCTACTCAGGGTAAGATTAGTTAAACATTTACAATATATATAATGCATGTAAAGAGTGTCAACTGAATATTTTTTTATAAATACTGACAATATGCATTTCTATGAAACATGAGAATAAATGGAAATCTATGAGTGGGATGATTACATGTATGAGTGAGTGTAAGTAAAAAAAGATTTTTCATCAAATATTTTTTAAAATTTGATGAAATTACCTAATAATTCATACATGTTATACTACACAAAAATGAAATTGACGTTCCCTCTTTTAACAGTTTTAGTTTAAAAGCTAAATAGGCGGAATAGTACTTTCTTGATGTAACTGCGAAAATTGCTAAACAACGCAATCGCGCTGTTTTATTTTTTTGTCGATAAATGCCGATCGGCGCCATCGCTCTTCATGTTGTTAGGAAAGAAAGCTTCAATATGACTGATGCTCTACAATCGAAACCCGATTTTAAATTGAACATCACGACCAAACGCTGTGGCATTATTCGACACAAATTTGAACAGTACGACGGTGCTGCGTGGCACTAAAACAGTTAAATACCAATTTAACAATTCATGTTCCTATAGACGACTCAGGTGGCAAAGCAAGCCGTAGATCATTAATCCGTAAAAAAACGGAAAACAAAATACCAGAACTAGTACAGAAAATTGAAGAAGTTAATACTTCTGAAAATAAAATAATAGAAGGAGTACAGGAGAAAGTTGAAGAAAAAGTAAATCCTTCAACAGATTCAACAGCTCAAACTGGCAATCCTCAGCCTTTGTTAATGGTAGAAGTTGTAAATATTACTCACGAGAAGTTCAGGCAAACTGAGGAAATTAAAGTAAGCTTATATAATATTTCTTATTTTCTGAATATCATGTATTAATATATCGCAGATAATATAATATAATATATATAGAATTATAATAAAGTAAAAGTAAATTAACAGGCTTTGACACAAGAATTAATCAAAACAATTCGGGATATAATAAGTATGAATCCATTGTACCGTGAGTCTTTACAACAAATGTTGCATCAAGGGCAGAGAGTTGTAGATAATCCCGTTTATTTGAGTGACTTGGGTGCAGCTTTAACAGGAGCAGATGCACAAGAATTGCAACAAGTATTAGAAGAAATGGATGTGAGTAATTATATCTGTTGTCATTAAAATTAATTGTTTAAACAATTAAAATAACAATTTTATTTATAGATTTCAAAAAGATTAAGATTATCGCTGGCACTTTTAAAGAAAGAATATGAATTAAGTAAACTTCAACAAAAAATTGGTAGAGAAGTTGAAGAAAAGGTTAAACAACAGCACAGAAAATATATTCTTCACGAACAATTAAAAGTCATTAAAAAAGAATTAGGTCTTGAAAAAGATGACAAAGATGCTATAGGAGAAAAATATAGAGAACGTATAAGAGAGAAAACAGTTCCAAAAGCAGTGATGGATGTGCTTGAAGAAGAATTAAATAAATTAAATTTTTTGGAGAGTCACAGTAGTGAATTTAAGTATGTATTATTTCTGTAATCTGCATTTATAAAATTTTAACATACAGGATGCCGAAAATTGTGATATAACCAACCAAATAGTGATTCCAGCAGAATTATTTTACATGCAACAGTAGATCGAAAAAAACCATTTTCTCATTTAAAACTTCGTTTTCGAGGAAATTCAATTTTTAAATTCAATACATTTGTACCATCCAATTCTTAATTGAACATTTATTCAAACTTTATTTTCTCCAAAACGAAACTTTAAATGAAAAAATGTTACTCTTTTTTTTCAATTTATTTTTGCATCATGACCCAGTCAGTTATGTTATAATTTTCGGTACATGAACATAAACAAAATATTATTTCCATGTCAAGTAATTAAACTAATTTTTAATTTGTTAGTATAATTTTATTTCTAGTGTGACGAGAAATTACTTGGATTGGCTTACATCTATGCCATGGGGTGTAACTAGTCCAGAAAATTTAAATCTTCAGCAAGCAATTGAAATTTTGGATAAAGACCATTATGGAATGGAAGATATAAAAAAACGAATCCTAGGTAATTGAATTTTTAATGAATGAATAATTCCATTTATTAAAACGTATTTATTTTTTATTGCTCTTAATTTTAGAATTTATTGCTGTTAGTCAACTGAAAGGTTCAACACAAGGAAAAATATTATGTTTTCACGGGCCACCAGGTGTTGGAAAAACATCAATAGCCAAATCAATTTCTCGTGCACTTAATAGAGAGTACTTTAGATTTAGTGTCGGTGGAATGACAGACGTTGCAGAAATCAAAGGTCATAGAAGAACTTATGTAGGGGCTATGCCTGGTAAAATTATTCAGTGTTTAAAAAAAACCAAAACTGAAAATCCACTTGTTCTCATCGATGAAGTTGATAAAATTGGAAAGTATGTATCTACGAATTTTTACATACAAATTATAATTATAATTTACTTATATTTACTTTGATAATTTAGCAATTTGATATAAGTATAAGCCTTTTTTTATTAGAGGCCATCAAGGTGATCCAGCATCAGCCCTTTTGGAAATGTTAGATCCAGAGCAAAATGCAAACTTCTTAGACCATTATTTAGACGTTCCTGTTGATTTGTCAAAAGTGCTTTTCATCTGCACGGCAAATGTGATTGATACGATTCCAGAACCTTTAAGAGATCGTATGGAAATGATAGATATGTCAGGTTATGTTGCAGAAGAAAAACTTGCTATCGCTAAACAATATTTAGTACCGCAAGCGATGAATGATTCAGGCCTCACTAATCAACAGATCACTATAAATGATAATGCGCTAAATTTGTTAATTAAATCTTACTGTCGAGAATCGGGAGTAAGAAGTCTTCAGAAACACATCGAGAAAGTTAATCGAAAAGTTGCGTTCAGGGTGGTTAAAAAAGAAACAGAAAAAGTAGATGTAACTGAGCACAATTTACAAGACTTTGTAGGAAAACCCGTGTTTACACATGATAGAATGTATGAAATTACGCCTCCTGGAGTCGTCATGGGTCTTGCATGGACAGCTATGGGAGGTTCTACTCTGTTCATTGAAACAAGAGTGAGGAAACCTTCTACAGGAAAGAAATCAGAGGGCACCTTAGAATTCACCGGCCATTTAGGTGATGTGATGAAAGAATCTATTCACATAGCTATGACGGTTGCAAGAAACTTTCTGTCTCAACAAGATCCATCTAATACTTTTCTGATCGATTCTCATCTACATTTACACGTTCCTGAAGGCGCTACACCAAAAGATGGTCCCAGCGCAGGTATCACGATCGCAATAGCATTGATTTCGCTTGCTAAGAATCAATCAATTAGACAAAATGTTGCAATGACTGGTGAACTAAGTCTCATGGGTAGAGTTCTTCCTGTTGGTGGTATTAAAGAAAAGACGATTGCTGTGAGTATAAATAAAATAAGCATTTCATTAAGTATATCATATCTTTTAATATATGTATTTTTCTAATTTTCTAGGCAAAACGAGTTGGTGTAAATTGTGTAATTCTACCTGAAGAAAACAAAAAAGATTACAATGATCTTCCTAAATACATTACAGACGGTCTGGAAGTTCATTTTGCCTCAACTTTTGAAGATGTATATCGCATATGTTTTGCACCACAGCAAGAAAGTGATACTATTCGTCATGAAAAATCTTTAAATCTTGATATTTCATCGCCACAAAGCGCACCACTTTTAGGTAAAAGTACTGACTGAATTATTTAAGAACTAAGTACTTACGCATTGTAAAGATTGATTATCGTACGATCTTATATATGTCTGGTTTACTTAAAACATTCACTTCAAATCATATTTGAAAATAATTGAATCTATTCTATATTGTTTTATATAGAATCATTGAAATAAAAGTACAGAAAGCTAATATATTTAAGTTTAAAAAAAAAAATTAAAAATTTCATGAAAATTAATCTCATTTTAGTTGCAATTTCATATCATTTTTTTAATATCAAAATAAAGATTACCAAGAAAGGGAATTAAAATTTTTGCTACTGTCAAAATATATTAATACCTTTTTTTAAATAAACAATTTAAAAAATATTGTACATATAAGATAATATTCTTTCTTTGTTATTGTCACATATAGCTGTAATAATAATGGAATTAACTTTCATATGATGTAAGACTTGTTCGTATGCAGAGTAAAATCTGCATTGTACAGTGTTATTTGTTACACAAATAAAAACGATGTACATAATTCATAGAAGTGCAAAAAACCAAAAATTTTTAATCAATAAAAAAAAATATATTTCTATAAATATGCTTTGCTGATATTCCAATTTAAGAAGAAACTGTAAATACAGTTGCATTTTTTAAATTATTTATATATAGTAGATAACTATTTTTAGAAAAAGACTATACAAAAAAGAAATACTATATTAATTAAACTACTGTACAATTTGTTGAAATAAATAAATTATACAATTTAATATTTTATTCAAAAATAATTTTATGAATTATGAATTAACTTGGAACTTCCATTTTACTCAATCTAATTATGAAATCACACAGTCTCATTTGAACTTGGATTTCTATTGGATTGTTTGTAACATAAAAGCCAGGTACACCAGCTTTTTCTAAAATACTTTGTTGATCCGCCACTTTCTGATCTAATTGAAGGACTAATTTCATATCCATTTGCTTAAGTTCTTCTTTGTGTTTTTTACACAATGTTGCTTTTATTGCTGTTCTTTCTTCATCTGTATAGATTGATGATAATGATTCTTGCATTTCAATTTTCTGTTGATTCAAAAGCTGAAGACGTTGTTGAAAAAGATGTTTCTCTGTAACATGCTGTATTTCCATTAATCCCTTAACAATTTCAAATATTGTATCATTTAATAGAGAATTGGCTAAACCAGATAACAATTCATAGGGAAGACGCATTTGATATTTTGGAGGAAGTTCACCAGCCATATGTTGGAGTTGTTCCACCAAAAAATATAGTTTCCTTTGAAGATCTTGTGGAGTTGGAGCAGTAATATCCATTGCTTCGTCATAAAAAACTACAAAATTTAAGCAAAATATAGATCTCTAAAATATAGAAATATGTGTAAAATATAGATTTATGTGGTAGTATTTACCACATTTACATGTTAAAAAATAAAAATGAGGTTAGGCGAAAATATTTCTTTTTATTAAGGCTACTCTAATAAAATTTTTTAATTTATAATTTTCTAACTAAAAAATAATGTATAATCAAAGTATTAAAAATATTACTTTATTAAAATATTATTTAACTAAAGTCTTGTTCACAATGAACACTGTACAGGAAATGTAATATTCTTTCCATCTTTTATCGCATAATGTGAACACTGTACAAGTCGTATTAATGTATATAAATCTATGTGACGTCATGCGGCCTTTACGGTACGGAACTGGCAACTCTGTTTAATACATATACAAATCATACTAAAAATAATTCTTGGAATAAAGTTTTAAACATTTTGACACTTTTGAATGCCGCAGCTTACATTTTTAAAATGAATATTAAATTTCCAAGTTTCTCTTAATTATTAATATATAGATTTAAAAATAATTTTGATTGGTTATTTGGCAACACTGTTGCGTAAGTTTTTCAGATCTTCCTGCGACGGTACCATAAGTAAATCATATGTAAATGTACGTACGTGTAATTGTGGTGAGATCCGCAGTTCGTGGGAGGTTTCTGGAGTTAGGTGAGGGCGAATGTCGAATTTTCTTACCGTGGGATGGAGATGCGCGTGTCAAAAGACCGCGGGAAAATGAATAATGACGAAGCGGCCAGGAAGTGAAAAATGATCGAAGCAAAATGAGGAGGACGTACAACGCTGCAGCAAATGTCCGAACGACCGATTGTCTCGAACAAACAAGACGTTTGCACAAGTAATATAAAACTATAGTAACTATAGTAATCAGAAATTACTTTTTTTTTTATTTATTTCAATATCATTTATTTCAATATTATATATTTCAAGAAATTTGTTCGATACTGTTGGAACATCCATGTTCACCTTGTGTTAACATAACCTCACTTACTCTTACACCATGATCTTCTATTGGCGCGCTTTTACGCGTGTATAGTTTACTTTCATTAGTTAATCTTCTCTGTAAAAAATTATATTATCAATGTGCATGTAAATATTTCTATTATGTTATGTGAACATTCATGTTTGTTTAATTATTTAATATGAATCAATTATATATAAAAGAAATTTATAAAATATATCATAAACTTCTATGTTGCAAAGTTTTATTAATTAATGGTTATAATCATACTTATATATTTCAAGTATTTTTTAAAGTTTTTTAATGTAATGATTAGTATTAATTCAATAAGATCATTGTTATTCATAATAACATTTCAGCCTGAAATTTTGTTATTTCTTTTAATAATTAAATTGAATTTGTAAGAGTCTTTATAATGAATTAATGACCAGGATTATGTTTAATTAACAGGGGTATAACAGATATTGCCAAGAGGTTAGATGAACAAAAGAGTCGTGCATTAACAATAACAGATTTATTTACTCCTTCAGGGGAGACATTACGGGTGAAGCTTAAAGATTATTGTGTAAGGTTAATAACTAAAGATCCTGTTGAATATGCACGTAAAATTGAAGAGTTACTGTGGAGAAAAGCATTTTATGATATTGTTTATGCATCTAAAAAATTACGAAAGGTATTAATAGTCGTGTGTTACATATAATAATAATAAATTCTAATTTAACAGTGTGTTTATTATATTGCTTTCATGAAGATAACATCTGCTTTTAGTACGCTAAACTATGAATTTTATTTCAGGGTAATGCATGGAACGAAACAGAGAAAGCAATGTTATGTGTCCATTTGGCAGTAGGAGTTGGTTTTTATCATCATTTAATATTGAAACTGCAATTAGAATATGATTTAGATCTAGTTGGTACTATTGATTTTGTGTTTACACAAAATGTAACAGGATTATTAAATGTAATCTTTTTGAGAATTATTAGAATATTATGTTACTTATAGAGTACATATATGAAATATTTAAACATTTAAACATTTTTTTTTTTGGTACTCTTAGGCAAAAAGTAAAGCCAATCAATTGAAACATCATACTGAAGAAGTGAGACAATGTGTTATGCGTTTAATTCATAGAAGTCTGGTATGCCTTGGAGATTTAGCTAGATATAAATTGGAATTAGATCCATATTGGGATCCAATGATAGCAAAAAGATATTATAAAATGGCTATAGCAGTTGATCCAAATATTGGAATGCCACATAATCAATTGGGCACTATAGCAGGCAATAAAAATTATGGCCTTGATGCAGCATATCATTATATGAGATGGTTGGAATATCTCTTTTATTTGATATTCTAATAAATATATGAGATTCTTTTTTCATTAATCATTGTTTGTAAAAATAATGATTTTTGGAAATATGAGTATGCAAATTTTAAGAATTTAATTACTTAATTATTTTACAGCATTTTATGTTCTGAACCATTTGAAGGAGCAGAAGGAAATTTAAAAAGAGCCATTGTTACACATTCTGTTTGTACAGATGAGAAGTATCTTACACACGTTTGTGTTTCAAGATTATTTTCTCTCTTACAATTATGGGAGTACGATGTGCCCAGTTCTGATCGAATAAATCAGGAATGTCAGGTAATATTCATACATTAAAGTTTTAATTTTATGTATAAATTATAAAAATTAATCTGTATTTTTATTACATTTTTTACAGGATCTTTTAACTAGTATTGAAAATTGCTTAAGTACAGAACAATCCGAGCCAAATGATATGAATACTAATACCAATACTAATGAAAATGAGAGTAATATTGAAATATATCTACAAAACTGTAAAAATGAGCAAACGAATTATTTGACAGATGATATGATATTCAAAATTGTGGCCATATGTCTAATGTCCATTTCAAGATTAAAAAGTAAAGAATCTAGTGAGGTGCAAGGAGTTGTTGCCATAACTTTAGCAATACTGTCTCAACTAATACAGTTTACAATAACTAGATTACAAGAATCTTTTATAGATTTGTCGCTACCCAACGTAGAGCTATCAAATTCGGCAGATAAAGACATCAAATCAGTAGGTGTGGAAGAGAAAGATAATGCTATAAAACAACTAAACTCAGATGAAAATAACGAATCTAAAATTATAAATGATAACAAAACATCTTCCGAAAAGGAAAGTTTAGAAAACAATGAAGATATTCAAAATGGTTCACGAAAAACTCGAGATAAAACTAAAAATTTGCTTACGAAGCTTCGAAGACGAAAACGGAGGGACAGTAGTGATTCAGATGCAAGTGACGTTGATCATGCAACTATGGAATCCTCTAGCGATGGGATAAATTCTGATGTTTCTGAAACAGAAGACGACATATTAAGCGAAGAAAATGCATTATCAGAAGATGCGTTGTCTGATGTTACAGATGATGAAGATGCATCTGCACAAGTAAATCAAGAAGATACTGATAGCTCTGAAACGCGAAAAGTGAATGGTCATATAGAAATAGAAAGAAAAAGTGAAACACCCGAGATAATCACTGCTCATGTGCAGAACGGTGATTTACAAATACCTGATGATCAAGTCGAGAAAAAGGTTAATGATAACGATTCTATAACTAATTCTGGAAGTACAGAAACTAATTCCAACAGTCCGTTTGATGATAATAGTGCATCGTCGAATAGATTAACGTACATTGCTCAATTAAAGAAACAAAATTTAAAACCAGAAGATGTGCTAAATATCATAGCTAGAAAAGAAATATTAGCGTCTATTAAGATATGTTGCGATTGGTTAAGAAGTAATCCAGATATTATACGAATATGTGGAAAAAGTTCACGCACATTATTAAAACGTGTTACAATTTTGTTGAACTTAATCAATATAAATATCAAAACATTAACAAATTTTAAGGACGACAGCATGATTTTATCGAATGCAGATAAATTGAAAGAATGCGTTAAGATAGTTCCGTTACCGGAAGATATTGATTTAAGAGGATTAAATCTTCTGGAAGATGCCCAAAAATCTTTGAATTGGAAGATACTTTACAAGCATAAAATGAATAAGCAAGAAGAAACCCTATTAAGAGCACTAAAATTAATCGAATTTGGACATTTTCTTAGCTCCGTCGATGATGCAGGAGTAAAATATGAAGAAGCAAAACAGTTGTTTGTAACAATTGATTTAAATGCTTCTCATACAATTACTAATGGTAAAGATTGGGATATGGATCATTCTCGTGGAAAATTAATGAGACACATGGGAAAATTATGGTTGAAAGCGGAAGTCTGTGCTCTAGAGACTCGTTTGAGATCTAGGCTTATGTCTCCTTACTTGGTACCTGATCATGAGGCTTTATCTAAGCATACACCAGCTTTAAAGCGTTTGGTATACGCTAAGAAGTTTATTATTGTAATTCCTAGTGTCGGTAAGTTTATTATTGTAATTCCTAGTGTAAAAAAAAAGAAAATTATGAAAAGTATGTTATGTTGTTTTTTTCGTATCATTGTTCTAATTAAAAACAATAATGTTTAGTTGTTTCTGCATTGGACGAGGTAAAACGTATTAGTGGCCGAGCAAGAGAAGCAACACGTTGGTTAGAAGCTCAGTTGAAACGTGGGTCGAGATTTCTTCGAGCTCAAAGACCTCATGAGCATCTAGCATTACCGTTCATTAAAGGGCCAAGACCAAAGGATAAAGAAGCATGGTTATTTTTCCAAATTATAGAGTGTTGCCATTATCTTACTCAACAGACGAAAGTTGGTGTGATAAACGATGCAGAAATACCAGTTGTGACATTATTGACTGGTTGTAATCCAGATGAAAAGAAAGTCCTTACTTTTAGCCCCGAGGGATTGGCAAAGAGTGCAGGTATTTTAATTATTTCAATTATTTATCTTTATAATTTGATACTTTATTAAATATTACTGTTTAGATTAAATTAATTCTTAACATAATCTTTTTTTTATATGTTACATATTGATTATTAACTTGTTCAAATGTTCAAATACAGGTGTCAATATCGAATATATTGAATCATTTCATACAAAATGGAAGGCATCAAGCAAAAGTCACGGTTGAACGTGTTGGATTAATAGAGATGATCATCTGTTCCCTACCGAAATGAAAGGCCCTTCTTAAGAGCTGTCTATATAACGACGCTACGGCATCAGCTGAGCGGGCGAGTCAGAGAGGGCTGGAAACCCAGAAAGGAAAATCGATGTTTCTCCTGCAATAAAAGTGGATTAATATCTATATTTTTTTCATGAATTCTAAATAATAAAATGGTTTTCTTTTAATCAGTCGTACTATCTTTTACGTTAAAAAGAAATTGTATTTTTAGGTAAATATTTTTCAATAAAAATAAACTTGCCTTCGCAATTTTTCAATCCTTTAAAAAAAGGGAGGGTAGAAACTGACAACTGACTGAAATTTTTATCTTCAATAATTTTACTGAATTAAAAATAAATCATGTCATTGTAATGTAATATTGAAATTATGGTTTTCAATGATTCGATAATAATACTAGTATTCCTTCCTAGAAATTAATGTTATAATTGACATTTAATATATTATCATTATTGAAACACTACATCTACAGTATTGTTACAAAACAATGTTTTACATTAGTAAATATATTAATAAATATTATGATTTTAATAACTGTTAAAAATATATATTTCATTAAATTATTACATTATTGTTATGAGTTTTAGATTTCATAACTTCTTGGTGAAATACATCATTCATCAATGATACAATATATTCTTGGAAGATACTTAACACATGACACAACAAGCTTGTGTTAGTATTTTAAAGTTACGGTGGTGGCAACGCAACATAACCTTTCAACAACGAATTGTGATTTATTTTTACAAACGATATATTTACTAGTAAGAATCTTATTCTATTATTTACGTATTTATATAGGGATCGTTTGATGAGGCGATTATTTCCTCGATAAACTCGGTATGTTCTAACAGTATGCTTAAACGGAACTGTATACGGAGGATTGACATATCGTGTACTTTTCATCATTTTATATATTATGGTTCATAGAATAGTCGTTTAAGTTGACCCTTCTATGTAATCTTTATAGTTTTTTGGGATAATTTGTTAACAAAATTTAGCGTTAGTTGATTTGGGAATCGGTTCGTAAACGTAAATTTCTGTGGTATAGAAAAAGAATCGAGGTGTTCGAGAAAAGTGGTGCGCAATTGGCCCTCGACGAGGGAGAATCGAAAGCGTCGAAAGTAACGAGTCATCTACCGATTCAAGATGGCAGAAGGTCAGGATACTCGAAAGAAAATTACTGTTAACGTCAAAACGCCAAAAGAAAAACAAAGTGTCGAGATCGAGGAGGATGCGAGTATTAAGGACGTAAGCTTTTCGGCCCTGTATTTCCACAGCTTCGCCAATGATCAAATTTTCCAGCTTGAATAACACGACTTGTGTCACTATTGGGTTAGTTTTGATAATTATTCTCATTTGAAATTTCTAGTTCAAAGAAGCAATCTCGAAGAAATTCAATGCACAGACAGAACAATTATGCCTAATCTTTGCTGGGAAGATTATGAAGGATCATGAAACTTTGAGCACACATAATGTGAAAGATGGGTTGACAGTGCATCTGGTTATCAAGGCACCACGTACTCCCACTAATCAGAGTCAAGACTCTACTTCTCAAAGATCACAAGGTATAAAAGTATATTATTTCAGACAGTGAGAAATATTTAATTTCAATTTTATCTTGGTCATTATTATGATATACATAATCTTTTATGTTATTATAATTGTAATTTCTGATTTATTTTGGTTCGTATAGCTGACATAAACGCCAGTCCTTTCGGATTAGGAAGTTTAGGAGGACTTGTAGGTTTGGCATCACTTGGTTCAGGGTCCACTAACTTTATAGATTTACAACAACGTATGCAACGTGAACTATTGTTAAATCCAGAGGCGTTGCACCAAGTACTTAATCATCCATTGGTGCAGAGTTTGATGAATGATACAGAAAGTATGCGTAACTTGGTTGCAGCTAATCCACAAATGCGAGAATTGATGCAAAGTAACCCAGAAATTAGTCATATGCTGAATAATCCTGAATTGTTGAGGTAAGAATGAAATCATTTAAAATATAACTAAAGTTTAAAAGATTCATATTATAAATGTGTAAATGTAATATTTGTATCATATACCTTTTCAGACAAACAATAGAGTTGGCACGTAATCCATCAATGCTTCAAGAATTAATGCGTTCCCATGATAGAGCTATATCTAATTTAGAAAGCATTCCTGGCGGTTATAGCGCGCTTCGTCGCATGTATCGTGACATTCAAGAGCCTATGTTTGCTGCAGCAGCCAATGAACAAAATCCGTTTGCAGCGTTAGTGCAAAATAATAGTAGCGAAGATAGTCAAAATAATCCACAACAAGGTCAAGAAAATAGAGATCCATTGCCGAATCCTTGGTCTCAGAATCAAAGTGACACTTCAAATCAACAACAGCAACAGCAGCAACAGCAGCAACAACAACAAGGAAGGGGTCTATTAAATTCACCAGGAATGCAAAGTCTTGCAGCTCAAATGATGGAAAATCCGCAATTAATACGAAATATGTTAAATGCTCCATATACAAGGTCTATGTTAGAAGCTTTGGCAGCAGATCCAGCTATGGCCAATAGGATGATATCTGCTAATCCTTTTCTTCGAGGAAATCCACAGATGCAAGAACAGATGAGAGCCATGATGCCTGCGTTTATTCAGCAAATGCAAAATCCTCAAATTCAAAATGTTGTCACCAATCCGGATGCTTTAGCTGCTATCATGCAAATTCAACAAGGCATGGAACAGTTACGTACTGTTGCTCCGGATCTTGTTGAAAAGTAAATTTTCATAATGTTTTCTATAATTTTATATAGTGCTAAATATGATTAACGCATTATTTTTAGCATGGGTCTGACTGTACCGCCTACGACTACAACACCTAGTGGAGGTACAACAAATTCACCGACGACGGAATCATCAGACACGAACCAACAAGATGCATTCTCTCAATTTATGGCACGCATGGTAAACGTTTTGTATTATTATGAACCTTATATGTAAGAGAAATTAGTTATTAATTTTATTTTTGATAGGTATCGGCAATGGCGCTAAATCAAGGCGTAGAAGTGGATGGCCAACCTGTTCCCCCACCGGAAGAACGTTACAGAGCTCAATTAGAACAACTTACGGCTATGGGTTTTGTTAATAGAGAGGCTAATTTACAAGGTAAAAATATTTTCTTTTCAATTTTTTGCTGTTCTTTGAGTTAAGAACTACTAATCAATCAATTGTACTTATGTATAGTTTATGGTTTTTCATGAATCATATCTCACTTGTATTTACGTATGTATTTACGTATGTATTTACGTATGTATTTCAATAGACTTCAGTAAAGAGATTTGATCTTTAATTGATTAATTAGTTTGTATTAACATTCTATGCTTAGTGAAAGATAAACATTTTTACAGAAATTCTAATCTACAAAAAAAACTATGTTAGAATATTTAAACAAAGAAAAGTAGTAGTACATTGGAATTTATTTTAATTTTACTTTATTTTTACTAATTAAAACAGGCTAATAATTCATGTGACACAAAATGCATTGTAAAAGTATAAAAAAAAATATAGCGTAATATGTAATATATATTATTTTCAGCACTAATCGCCACATTTGGAGATATAAACGCTGCTGTTGAACGACTACTATCTGACGGACAAGTGTCTATGAGCTAACCACCAATATGCAATACTGTTATTCCATTACTATTTCTAATTTTTTCCTTATTTACCTCTTGCAACAAGCGTAGTGAGAGATATTTAAGGTAATTGACTGTCAGAACAGGAAAAAAATTATAAACTTCTACCCCAACTTTTGACAGAATACACGCTACCGACTCGTTCAATACGCATTTTTTTTATTTTTGATTGGTACTTTTATCGTATTCGATGATATAAGTACTGGTATCTAAATGTTTAACTTGTTATATCTTACGATATATTTCACTCTTGAAATTTTCTAGTTTAATTCTGTATTCTGTATTTCTCGATGTGCTCTAAGTACTAGATAGCTCTGTTAATGTATTTCGTCGGTGTAAATTTGTTTATCAGATATTCAAGAGGGAGAAAGAGGGGGAGAGAGGAGGAGAGTGTGTGTGTGTGTGTGTGTGAGTGAGTGAGTGAGTGAGTGAGTGAGTGAGTGAGTGAGGGGAGAGAGAGAGAGAGAGGGAGAGAGGGAGAGAGAGAAAGATAAAAAGTTATATTAGAATACGAAGGACCTACCCTTCTTCTTTGTTATATTGTACATTTATGGTGTTTCTTAGAAAGTGGAACCTGCATGGAAAATAGATTGCCGTTAAAATAAATATGCTTCTGGCTTTGATCAATCGATTGTAAATTTCATGGAGAAAAAAAGTCATTTCGTTTTGCTTAAATGTATGTAATAATCACATATTAGTAAATGTACTGCATGAAACGTTCATATGTTTGTCATATACAAAAAGTGGGTATGTTGTCATATACAGGCATGTTTGTTATACAAAAATGGCTATGGGATAATTATTGATTGCTAAGTAACAGTTGATGTATAGTAATAAATGACTTCTTCGGATGCAAAAAAATTGAGAACTTCGAGCTAATGAATAAATTCGTACAACATTTATTCTTTCTGCTTAAAGAAGAGAATGTTCGGTAATCCATTAGCATTTTCCATGTAAGTTTTGTATGTACGGCGATAAGAAACGGAACACATTCTTTTCTCTATTTTTTCCTTATTTTATGCCGACGCACATTGTTTTTCTTTTGTCTTTCCTTCTTATTTTTTGTTTTCTTTTCTCTTTAGTTATTATTTTACTAAAAAAAAAAAAAAAACAAAAAAAAAA